ACTGTACTCCAGTCTGGGTGACAGAGTGAGACTCCAACTCAAAAAAAAAAAAAAAAATTGTTAACTTTACTCATAGATTGAGGAAATAGTGTGTGTGTGTGTGTGTGTGTGTGTGTGTGTGTGTGTATAAATATATGTATATGCATTAAAATGAGCACATAACTATTCAGATTTTAAGATTGTTTGTGTACCACTTAAAATTGTCTTGCCTACCACCAGTGGTACACATACCACACTTTGGGAAAATGCTGGTTTTTTGAAGAGCACACAAATGACAATGGAATGGCTGTATTCCAGCCCCAGCTGGTGTGACTGATTACTTTGGCCACCTCTTGTGGCTCACAGAAGGGGTTAAAGACATTCTCAGGGGGAATGTAAGTGGGACGAGGGTGAGGCCCAATGGGTTGAGCTTCCCCCCACCCTCACCACTGCCCAGAAGTGGAGCTGGACCTCCAGAGAAGTGTGCAGGCTGTACTCCGGGACCTCAAAGCCCAGACCTCAGCACTGCAGAGTAACCAAGGTAAGACGCCGCATGCAGGAAGCGGCTGCTCCCTCTGCCTCCACTACCTCGCCCCAGCCAGCACTGCCCATGTGTTCAAGAAAGGGCCCCAGCCTGGAGCTCAAGGAGTGAGGGACTTTTAGCCAAGAACCCTTCCTACTAGAAATAACTGGAGCCTGAAGGACTAGAAGGCTTCTCTTCTCCCTCGTTCAACCCTCTCAGCAATCATGGCCACCTGCACTGGGGATCTGCTGCCCTCTCTCTTCACCACCTTCCCTAGCTCTATCCCAGCTAAATCCCCCTTGGCACTCCAGGCCCATAGGTCTTCCAGAACATGGCTCAGGGCACTCGCCTGCAAGCACTGCCGGTCTGTGGTCCACACATGTACAACCATCCCCACTTGTATCTCACCTACCCTTGTTTCTGCCCTGGGAGTTCACTGTCCACAAAGGGCTGCAGATCCAAATTCCCCCGCAGGAGTAGCCCACCCTTGTGTAAAGACCTCCCTGGAGCCAAGCACGGGCATAGGGGTCAGACCTGTGACTGGTCAAAGTGCAGCCTGGGGCTCCAAAGCTCAGGGTTCTGCTCAGAGGATTTCCCCTGAGGGCCCCTTGCCCTGCCTGCTCATTCTGGGCTCCCCTTTCTCCTGACCCAGGCATGTGGAGATGGTCCCTGCACAAGAAAGTTGAGCGAGATCCTGGTAAGAGTCCGGCGCTGGTCCGCATTTTGCTCAGAGAACTGGAGAAGGTGGGTTCCTGGAGCTGGGGGAGGCAAACAGGCATGAGAGGAAGAGAGGGACTGACTGGGCTGGGGGCTCCATCCCAGCAGTACTGTGTCTCCCAAACCCCAGTCATTTGGGAACCACCTTCATGATTTATACCATATACACTTCCTTCCTGTACTTTTACTTAAGCAATATTTTCTGTACATTGATTCACATTGTTTTGCCTGAATACATGTATTTCAAAAAGAAACCAGGGTTTCTGCAGAACACTCAGCACTGTGTGGGCAGGTGCACTTGTAAATCACCCATCATGAAATGAACAAATGCTCAGACCTGTAGTTCCAGCTACTTGGGTAGCTAAGGTGGAAGGATTACTTGAGTCCAGGAGTTAGAAGCTGCAGTGAGTTATGATCATGCCAGTGCACTCCAGCCTGGGCAACAGAGAAAGGCCCCATGTGTAAGAAAGAAAGGAAGAAAGGGAGGGAGGAAGGAGAGGGAGGAAGGAAGGAAAGAAAGAGAAAGAAAGAAAGAAAGGAAGGAAGGAAGGAAGGGAGGGAGGGAGCGAGGGAGGGAGAGGGGAAAGAAAGACAACCCATAACACAATCATAAATGGAAAACCCATATTGCAGAAACAGAAGGTAACTAGAAACATACTACAGGGACCCCCCCCAAAAAAGCCCCAAAATTTTTAGAGGGTGAGTCACTTATAGTACAGGCTTCCTCTGCTAGGTAAGTGTTCTAGGAACCCATCAGCATGTTGTGAGAGGCTACGTTTGGTTTCAGTGAAAAATTTTTGGAGATATTTTCAATGCATTTGTTCATTTCATGATGGGTGATTTACAAGTGCACCTGCCCACACAGTGCTGAGTGTTCTGCAGTTTTTGACCTAAAATGCCATGACCTCCATGTCCCGTCCTCCCTATTCACCCAATCTCACTCCAAGTGAATTTTTTTTGTTTGTTTCTCTGGATGAAAAAAGTCCCCAAAGGGAAATGTTTTGCTGAGGTGAAACAAAAAACTGCACAAGCACGAAAAGGCATCAAAATTGATGAGTTCAGAAATTGTTTTGAGCAGTAAAATTCATCTCGATAGGTGTATTGCATCAAAGGGAGAGTACTTTGAAGGTGACTGAAGTTTAAGCATATAAGGATACACAATTTTTTATAAATAAATTCCTGGGTGTTGGGGTCCCCCCTTGTAAATATACAGCTATTCACATTTTTCAAAATTATCCTTGTACCACCTAAAATGATCCCCCATACCATCCCGTGTTCTGTGCGCAACTGTTTGGAAAACTGTGCTCAAAGGAGGCTCCAAGTTGGGAACTTGCTTGTAGCTTTTCTGTTACTCCTGTCCTGAGGCAATACCGCCCCTCCACCACAGAGTTCCCTGCACCTCCCCCACCCCACGCCCTCACAGAGATGCTCTCACGCTTGTGCTCCCCACTCTGCTATCCACAGCAGATGATGGCCTTTTGCATTCCCCTTGGCTACCTTCCAGCCTGTCTCCTGCCCCCCACCAGTGCCTCCTGCTAGGAGGGGTCCCCAGCCCTCAAGCCAATAAATGTCATGTGGTCTCTTGTTTTCCAGGCAGAAAGCGAGGACCTCCGGCATGTCATCATTCCGTTGCTGCACACTCTAATGTATGTGCTCACTAAGGTGAGCCAGGGGCTGAGATCAAGGTGGTGGTGGTGACCCGCATGTGACTGGGCCAGACACTGTCTTTTCCCCTTAGTGGACAGTCAGTCTCTGCCAGGGCGGACCTAAAAATACTCTTGGATCGCTGCCCTAAAGTGGGTACTCAGGACCAGTGGTGCCCTCTGCCTCCTATCCTGAGAGAGAACACTGGAGAGGGAGCAGGGAAGGTCGAGGCTTCGAATGACAGGATGAGGTCTTTGGGTTTGCTCATATGTGCAAGAGCCATCACTGAGCCCCACACAGAGAAGAGACAAGATAAAACTTTTCATGTCTTGGAAGGAGTAATCGGGAGCTTGTGTGGTCTCAGGGTGGGAGTGGTGGTGAGGAAAGCAGGAGGTGCAAGTCTGGGGTTGCCGGAGATCAACATCAGGATGGGACATGGCTCTGGAGAGGCAGAGGGCACGTGAGGAGGGGAGGGGAGACTGTGGAGTGCTGTGGAGCATCTTAGGCCATGAGAGGCAAGGAGGAGCAGCAGAGTCTGGAGAAGCAACTCCAAGGTGTTGAGACCACAAGAACACACTGCCCTGATAGAGTGGAAGGGCTGGGATGGAATCGATTTGCCGGAAGAACTTGGTGCGGTGGAGCAGGGTGGCACAGAGATGCCTCCCAGGTGCTGGGAGAGAGCTGGAATATGTGGGTTTGGGAGGAAGCTGTGAGCTCAGGTCTGGCTGTCAGGCCCAACCTTCCTCCTCTTATATCCCCTGGACCTTTCATGACCTGGACTCTGGGCACCCACTCCTCCCTCTCACCTAGGCCACGGGCATCACGGAGGAACTCTACCGGAGAACCTATACCTTCTGCATGAGGCTACTGACCCTGCCCACTCCCTACTGCACAGTTGCCTTGGAATGTGCTATCAGGCTGAAAACAGAGACCGTTGTCCCAGGTAAGAGCTACTGGGTGGCTTCGTCTCTCAAGGCTACACCTTCAGCAGCCTCAAGGGCTTGCATTTTTCTCCAGGATGCTGGGGAGCTCAAAAGTATCAGCCCCTTCCATGGAAAGGTGGGTAATGGGAACCAGAGACTCGAGGACTGGTTGGTTGAAGTGGTCTGGTTTGCAGGGACGCTGTACCAGAGGATGGTCATTGCTGAACAGAGCTTGAGGAATGAGCTGTATCCCTACCAGGAGAGGTGAGTGGCCCCAGCAAGGCTGCTGCCCTCAGCCCCCGCGAGGTGTTGGGGACTGTGTGGCAGGAGGACAAAAGAGCAGGCTGGATTGAGGAGAGCCCTGGCAGAGCTGCCCGCTCATGACATTTGTCCGGCAGTGGGGTATGTTTGCAATTCAAGGGCAAACGGGCTATATCGTTTTCTGGAGACCATAGAAAGCAGGCTGGGTATTTCTCCTTGGCTTGAATTTAGAGTTTCCTGCTCACATGCAGAAGGTAGGTGTGGCCTCCGGGTCCCCCTAGCGTTCTGTTGTTCCACCCCCATCCTGCCCTTGGCCATGGCACAGCATCCAACCAGCCTGGCAACCACAGGCAGCTCCAGAGTATCCCTGGTGGAGGGGGCTCAGGCCACAGTCCCCCAGTGAAGTCTGAGGGCTTTCGTGGGAGCGGGTTCCGTCATCTAGATAAGGCCAGGGAAATATCCACTGTTCCTGTTAGGGGAGGGGTGATGGAGTTAGGGTCACATACCTCCCTCTTCTGCAGGCCCTCCACTGACTTGGCCCTGAAAGGCCAGCTTGAGTTTGAGGCTTCAGTGCTATGTTCATGAAGAGTACAGGGAGGTGAAGGGGACCCCTGGGAATTAGCATTGGAGAGGTGGGATGGCACAGTTGAGTGAGGAGGAGAGAGAAGGTGGTTTTCTGGTATGATAAGGTTGATGAGAGAATATGGAATTCACTCTGGTTTCAGAGCTTCAGTTCTGGCAGGAAGGATTTAGGGTTCCTCCTAGAGGGTGCTGTGATGATTGGGCCAGGATGCTGAGGGAGGGAGCAGGATTTAGGTTGGAACTTACCTAGACACAACTTTCCTGTATGAACACAGTAGACTAGAGCTGCCCCTCTAGAAGGGCTGTGCATGCTCACATTTGCCACAGTCCCCACCACTCCCTATTGCATCTCATCTGGAGACTTTTGAATTTGAGCCCCCACCCTCATTTTTGGAGAATTAAATAACTTGAAGTTCCGCACAGGTCTAAGGGTACCCAACTAGTGGCCCTCTCCCGGTAGTCACCTTCATCTCCCTACCCCACCTCTGCCCTCAGAGTGCTCCTCTTCGTGGACCCTGAGCTGGTGTCTGCCTCTGTGTGCAGCGCCTTGCTGCTTGAGATCGAGGCAGCCCAGGTGCAGCGGACTCCGGAGGCCTGCATGCGCCATGTGGTCTCCCACGCCCTGCAGGCGGCTCTGGGGGAGGCCTGCCACGCAGGCGCTCTGCACAGGAAGCTGCAGGTAATTGCCCTGCCCCAGGCCTTGGTCGGTTTCAGCCCATGTCCACCGCCCATCCATGCCAATCACTCGCTCTACTATTCCCCTTCCTTCTGTTTCCTAACACTTTTCCCTCCTACAATGAATACATATTTACAGAGAAAAATGTGAAAAATGCAGATAAGTTCAAGAAGGAAATAAAAATCACTCACAACCCTCGACTCAGACACAATCACATTGAACATGTTACAGTTCCTTAATAGTCATGACAATAAGAATTATAACCGTCACTGTTTATTGAACATCTGTCGTGTTCCCAGTGACTGTGTTAAACACTTCACACCTATCACATTTCAAAATTCTCCACACAACATTGTGAAACAGACACAATTGTCATCTACATTTACAGATGGGGAAGCTAAGGCACAGAGGAGTTGATGAGCTACTTGCCATCATAAAGAGGCAAAGTGACTGAGCCAGAATCCGAACTCAGCTCTTGCTGATGTCAAGCTTATGTTCAATTGCCTTCCAGCCTCCCCAGCTACTTTTTATTTTTGAGTTGGGGATCTCACTTTGTCACTCAGGCTGGAGTGCAGTGGCTCAATCACGGCTCACTGCAGCCTCGACCTCCTGGTTTCAGACAATCCTTCCATTTCAGCCTCCTGAGAAGCTAGGACTACAGGTGTGCACCACCACGCCTGACTAATTTTTTTTATTTTTATTTTTTTGTAGAGACAAATTCTCACTATGTTACCTGGGCTGGTCTTGAACTCCTGGGTTCAAACAATCCTCCCACCTCAGCCTCCCAGAGTGCTAGGATTACAGGCTTGAGCCACCATGCCTGGCTCCCAACTCCTTTTTAACACATGGAGATACCAAACTCCATACACAATTTCTTATATGCATATGTATGATTATAGTATTTATTTTCCTATACCATTGGAAATATGCTGTGGAAATATTTTTCTTGAAAAATATGTATGTATGTATGTATGTATGTATGTATGTATTGTAGAGATGAGGTCTTGCCAAGTTGCCCGGGCTGGTCTTGAACCCACGGGCTTAGGCAATCCACTCACTTCAGTCTCCCAAAGTGCTGGGATTACAGGCTGAGCCACCAAGCCCAGCCTGAAAATATGTACTGCTAAAGGTAGCACAACGTTCTCTCTTATGAATGTACTGATATTTATTCAACCAGTCCCCCATTCCTGTTGTTGAGTGTTTAAGCTGTTTCCAACACATATTTCCTAGTTTTTCTCTCTGACTCTGTCAGACACAGCCCTTGCTAGAGAACCAGTAGTTTGGAGATTCCCTGGGGCGAGGACTGGCACCAGGTGCTGGACTTCCTGGGTAGAAGAGGGCTGCTGCCTGTCAGAGGGGAACTTTCTGCAGGGTGGCATGGAGAAAGCTGCTGGGATGCTGGATTAGATGACAGTTACGGTTCCAAGTTGCTACGACTCAGGGCTGTGGTGATGCCGCTGCAGGAGACCCGGGCACTCAGAAGGGAGGGTGCCCTCAAGGGCTGTCCCTTGCTTGTCCTGCCCCAAGACGCAGAGGAGTCAGTCCTTTTTCCCAGACCATGACTCAGACCCTGGTTTTCCCATCAAAATACATTGGACACGTTGCTCCTCCTCTGGGCATTTTCTGTCTGAAATTATCAACAGTCTGAACTCTTCCTCATGCATCCTTTCTTTGGCAGGTCCTTCTTTTTTATGTATGGCTGTGTCCCACCTTAAACTATGTGTATTGTTTTCTGTCATTCCTTTTCTCAAAAAGTACCTTTCCTAGCTTTAGAATGCTGTTCCTTTGTGGTTGCCCAACTGCCTGGACCTATCAAGGGTTCCTGACTCACTTTCCCCACCCAACCATCCTTAACTTCCTCTCCCTTCATACCACCTCCTGTTCATAGCACAGAGCTGAGAAATGAACAGGAGAGGAATGCCCTCACCCCTACTAACTCCTACCTAACACCCCATCTTGGTTTTAGCACACACCTATGACCCTTAATGTGGGATACTGTACCCTCTACCCACAATTGGTCACAGTTTTTGGGAATGTGAGGAGGAGAGGTCTTTCCTGACCCAGCATTTGCTTGTTGATTCAGCAGTCTCCACTGCCCCTCTAGTGGCTCTGCTGGTTGTTTCTGACTCACAAAATAGGCCGTAGTGAAGGCACTATTTTGACACAACAGAGTCAAACATGTAAACACACTGATTTTTGTTACTCAGTGGTGTGGGAAATAGACAATCCCACTCAATGCCCAAGTTGGAGCAGCCAAAGTTTGGGGATAGGGTTGAGAATGAGGCTGGGCTGTGTTTGGGGGTATCAGGAATTAAGACAGGATTGAGAGACACCAGGTCAGGAATGGGATGGGATTCGGGGCTGGAGCTCACAGGTCTGTTGTATACATTATTTTACGATGGAAAATAGAAATGCTGGATGTAAAACCTATGTTTTTCTTGGACATAGTCAAAACCTCCTCTCACCTCATTTTCTCCAGAGCCCATTGCTTTGATTCTCAATTTTTGTGTATAGAGAATTTGGCGCAGGGCAGAAGAAGAGCAGAAAGAGAGAGTCTAGGGAAGGCATTGTCAATCTGGTACCAGAAAGCCTTGGGAGCCTCACGTTAGAGGGTCCTCACAGGCCCCTGGAAGACCCCCTGTTGGGTCCTGAGGCTCCTACACGTCTACATGGCCTGGGGCTCCCCCGCTCATGTTGACCAACACTGCCCACACTCCTGAGACCCTTGGTCTTCTTCTCTGGAATTCTGCCTCCTGAGGCAGCTTTAGGGATGCCATTCCCAGGCATACCTTGGCCGACTTGAGGTCAAGAGGGACCTGAGAGAGGTGTCTCTGTCAGTCACCTACCCAGCAGGTAGGGCTTGTCTGACCTCCAGCCCACATTTTGTTTGCTGAGGGCCTGGTCTGAGGCCCAGATAGAGAGTAGATTGGTCTTCTTGAGTGTCCACAGGACCAGCTGACAAGGTCCCACACTCGGAGGCAAGCTTGGTAACCCTGTCTCTTTGGCCCTCTGCATTGCATCTAGATATTGGAGATGGGGATGTCTCAAGGTAGGGCTGCCCCACGTGAGGTCAGGGGCACAAGGATCAGGGGAGGCTTCTTTGTTAAGCCTTGAAATCAGGGATTTCTGGGGAGATGTGGGAACCACGCCAAAGAAGGGAGTGAGGAGACACAGCTGAGACCCAACTCTTGGGTAGGTGGCAGTGTGACTTCCAGCCAGTCTCCGCTTCTCGGGGTCTAATTTCCCTTCATTCTACTGTGCTCCAGAGAGTCAGCTCTGCTCACAGCCTTTCCCCAGCTGAGCTCACCTCATACTATTCTTCCACCTGCTCAGGCAAAAACCCTTGGGCCTTCCTGGACGCCTTCCAGCTGGCTCCACCTTCAAAGTGTGGCAAAATCAAGCCATTTTTATTACCTCCATTGCTACTAGGCTGGCTTCAGCAACTCCTAGCTCCCTGCTCCTGCTCTGGCCCCCTGCCTCTGCTTTCTGCTCTCACTCCTGCAGCTATGAAGACATGAGCCAGATCATGCCAGGCCTCTGCTCAATCATTCCCATGGCTGCAGCCCAGTTGTCTGGGAAGCAGGCCCTGATGTGGAGATTTCTGTGCAATCTTCTGTGGAGATTTCTGTGCAAACTTCTGTGAAGTTTCCTGGGGAGGCCCCAGTGGGGCATAAGGATGTGGGATAGGGCGGAGGGAGGACCAAGGGTCTATGCAGTCACCAATTCTATGGGAAACTTGAGCTGAGCTGGCTTTTTAGAGTTGTTCCAAATTAGGGTAAGGGGCAGAGCCTTTACACCACCACATCAACAAGGCAGTGGATGTGGATGGTGCCCAGGGAGGGGGTGTGTCCTCAGAGAGCTGGCTCTCTTTAACTGAGGATAATTTTGGAGACTCAGCTGAGAGCTCCAGTAACCAATACTCCCATCAGTAGGGCTAATGAGCGCCTCTGCCCTGAAGTGGGAATCTGGGTCGCCACCACAGTAGCTACTACATCATCTTACTCAGCGTCAAAGCCAAAGTCATTACAATGGCCTACAAGAGCTGGGTATCATTGCTCGTACCTGCAGTCCCAGCTACTTGTGAGGCTAAGGCTGGAGGATTGCTTGAGCCCAGGGGTTTGAGATCAGCCTGAGCAACATAGTGAGATTCCCATCTCTTAAAAAATTTAAAATATTAACTGAGCATGGTGGCATGTGCCTATGGTCCCAGCTATTTGGGAGACTGAGGTAGGAGAATCGCTTGAGCTCAGACGTTTGAGGCAGTAGGAGCTCCAGCCTGGATAACACAGCAAGACACCTCTCTTTAAAAAAAATTTTTTTTAAACCACGCACGGTGGCTCACACTTGTAATCCCAGAAATTTGGGAGGCCAAGGCAAGAGGCTCACTTGAGGCTAGGAATTCAAGACCAGCCTGGGCAATAGAGCGAGACTTCCATCTTTATGAAAATTTTAAAAAATTAGCCACATATGGTGGCACATGCCTGTGGTCCTAGCTACTTGGGAGGCCGGGGTAGGAGGATCTCTTGAGCCCAAGAGTTTGAGGTTGTAGTAAGCTGTGACCACGCCACTGCACACCAGCCTGGGCAACAGAGTGGAACCCTGTCTCAAAAATAAAATTGCCTTCAAGACCCTCATGATTGGCTCCCACTCTTCATTTCCTCTCTGGCCCATCTTCCATACTGTCTCTCTCATTTTCTCTGCCCCAACTATACGAACCTCCTGACAATTCCTCTAACATGCCTGACGTACATTTACTCTTACTGCTTCCTATACTTGGAATGTTCTCTTAGATATGTGCACGGCTCACTCTTTCACTTCCTTTAAGTCTCGGCTTGAAAGTCACATTCTCAGTGAGGCTTCCAGATAACACAATCTAAATATTCAGGGTGTCCTCCCACCCCCTGCCAACTCCTCAGCCTCCTTCTCTGTTTCGTTTTTGCTGCAGCACTTGTTCTAAATTTTACTTGTTTATGACCTGCCTCTCCCCCACAATGCTATAATCTAAAGACAGAAATTTTGGTCTGTTTTGTTCACGGCTATACCCCAGTCCCTAGAAGAGTGCCTGATGCACAATGAGTTGTCTTAGGTCCTGGCCATGCAGCTGTGAACAAAACACACAAAAATCCCTGTCTTCTTGGAGTTTGCCTTCTAGTGGGGGCAGAGCATTGATCCAAGTGCTTGGCGACGCTTTCAGGAGGGTGGGTGTCAGCGACCATCTCTGTCCCTTTGAGTAACACACATTGCAGGCCACCCGTTGTCTCCCCATAAGAGAGTTGAGGTGCAGAGGGGACCCCCACTTGCAAGCAGCATCGGGCAGGAGTGGGGCCCTGAATGTGGGGTCCAGGAGTCTGTGCAGGTAGCTCCTGCCTGACCCCCAGGGGCAGTGGGGAACGGGAGGGGTGCCACTGGGGGCTGCCTTGGCCCTGCAGCTTGGTGTAGGAGCTGGAATGCGTGTCTGCTGAGGCGGTACCCGGGCTCTGACGCCCCTCCCCGACAGGCCAGCTCCCGCCGCACCCTGGAGCACTATTTCCACGCCGTGGTGGCAGCCGTGGAACAGATGGCCAATGAGGCCAGCCCGAGCCGGGTGGGACACCTGGAGAGACTGGAGGAGATTTACTGCTCGCTGCTGGGGCCGGCGGCGGCCACGAGGGGGCGATATGGCAGTAAGTAGCTGTTGGCCGGCTGGGGACTCTGCCAAGGGCTGGGCTGCGGCCGCGCACCGCAGGGGGCGCCCGAGAGCAGTGCTGCACCTGCCGGGTGTCTGCGCCCTCCAGCAGGAGCGGGACTCCAGCAGAGCCTGGGCACGGGGGGACAGCCAGGGAGTTGGAAAGACTGGAATTAAGGTGAGTAATTTGGTTATGATAACAGTTGATACCTGCAGAACACCTACTGGACCCCAGTTGCTGTTCCCAGCGCTTTACACATACTTAAATATTTACATATATCATGTTACAGCAATCTTCAGAGTAAACATATTATCAGAGAAGAAGACAACTAGAAAGAGGTTAAAAATCTTGCCCCACGTCATCCGAGGTAGTTAAGTGGCAAAGTCAAGACTCAAATCCAGGCTGTCTGGTTCTTCACCACTCTGCTACAGGAACCAAATAATGTGATCATCCAAAGACCATCTACAGAGCAGCTAAAAGAGCAGATGAGTCAACATTACTTATATCTGCTATTATAAACTTTTATTTAGCACATTTTTCTTCTATGTTTGTTGATAACACCATACATTGACAAGAAGCAAACCCATGTGGATGGAGGCATCTGAAATAGCCTAGGACAATGTCCCAAATATGTATTTCCTGACTGTTCTAGGACTGGTCTGATTTGGGTCCTGATTGGTAATCGCACAAAGTATCTCTGGAATGGGTCAGCCTACAAGTTCCAAAACACACGGTCACTGATTGTGCACCTATGGTTACAAGGCACGAGGTTAAGCACTGAAAACTGTTAGCAGAGGTCAATGTGTCAGCCCTGGGGTTTGAACTTGGCAGCCCAGGTTGGGTGGAGGCCATTCAAGCCGGGGTGAGGCGGGCAGGATAACCCCTGCCTAAACATGCCACAATCTGTTTCATTGTCTGCTCTTTTGCTTTGCTTTAATATTCCATACTGCCTCTGCTCCCCACATGGTAATGGCTGCTTCATGAAGGCTTCTTCTTCCTGATGCTGAGGCAATCCCTGGGACCAATCGGGCTTTGCTCCCCCTGTGACACTTGCTAATCCTCAACAGTAACTCTGCATGGACCAGGCAAGACCCTCTGGGTCACCCCCAAGCCACATCTGGGGGCACCCGTCTTCTACCCAGACTTACCCTGTGCATCATAACGACCAGCCTGCACCCCTGTAGAGCCCTTGTGGCTATAGGTGGAAGTATGGAACAGGAGTTATAAGCACACTGTTGTAGGCAAGGTTATGGACTCTGGAGCTGGGTTGCCTGGGCTCAATTCCTGGCTCTGCCACTTGCTATGTGACCTTAAGTCAATTACTTAACCAGTCTGTGCCTTGGCTGCTTCCCTGTAAATTGAGGCTAATAATGTTACTTGTCACCCAGGGCCATTAGCAGGATCCAGAGAGCCATGGTGCGTGCCCTGTGAGTAGAACAGGGTCCGACATGTAGTAAGTGCTAAGTGAACACTGCTTGCTCTCCACCAAGAAGCTTGCAGCCTAATCATTAGGCGGGGTTGCGGCTATGTAGAAGTTAAATAGGAATGCAAGAGTCAAATCCTAAGGCCACATGCGAAGTGTGACCAATGTGCAGACGATAATGTCTGCTTGGAGGGGATGACCACTGTGGACTGCTGGAGTGGTCAGGAAGGCTTCTAAAAGAAAGAGCAGGAAGAGGGGCTGGCCCTAGTTTCTCCCCCGGACTGCCCAGGGTTCCTGCTACCCCCAGACTTGCCAGTGAGGTCTCTACAGCATCACCAACAGGAGCAATCATTGAGAGTTGACCGTATGCAAGATATCAGAAGCAGCCATAAAAAGAAAAGACCTGAGAGGTCTTTTCTGCCTCATCTGAATGCAGGCAGGGCATTAAGAACAAAGGGAAAGCCAGCAGCACAGGGTGAGGCGGGGCAAACAGGAAAGAATAGCCAGTGTGTGAAGGCTCCTAAGGGCTGAGCTAGGAGGTTTGTAGGAAGCAGGGAGCCACTAAGCATTCTTGGGCTAGGAGGGGACAGCTGCACTGCTGGGCCCTGGATGAGCTGGTGGTGATAGAAGTGACGAGGCCAGTTCCAAAAGACCAGGCGCGTGATGGAGAGGGTCCCTGCCACCCCTTTAGACCCTGCACAGGAGCTGGGCAGACAGGGAAAGCAGAGGAGGCTCCCACAACCCTCTCCTCCATGGCCTCGGCAACCTGCTCCTTTCTGCAGGTGACCCTGTCCAAGACCCGCCACCAAGCATCCCCCTGCCCAGCCCTTACATCACCTTCCACCTGTGGACGGGCGAGGAGCAACTCTGTACGTGCCCATGCGGCTGACTGGAACCAGTGGTAGATGTCTGTGTGTGTGTGTGTGTGTGTGTGTGTGTGTGTCTGTGTGTGTCTGTGGGTCTCTGTATGTCTACATATCCATGTGTCTGTCTGCGTCTCTGTGTATGTCTGTGTGTATATTCCTATATGTGTCTTTATGTGTCTGCCTGTGTATGTCCAGGCATGTATCTGTGTCTGTGTCTCTGTGTGTCATCTATGTGTGTCTGTGTATCTCTCTATGAGTGTGTCTGTCTGTGTGTATGTCTGTCTGTGTCTGTCTTTGTGTGTTTGAGTCTGTATGTATGTGTCTGTGTATGTTCATATGTGTACCTTTTTTTTTGCGTCAGAGTCTCATTCTGTGGCTGGAGTACAGTGGCACTCTCACAGCCCCCACAGCCTTGACCTCCTGAGCTTAGATGATCCTTCCACCTCAGCCTCCTGAGTAGCTGGGACTACAGGCACACACCTCCAAACCCGGCTAATTTTTTAAATTATTGTGGAGACACAGACTCACCAAGTTTCCCAGGCTGGTCTTGAACCCCTGGGCTCAGGCAATCCTCTCACCTCAGCCTCCCAAAATGCTGGGATTATAGGCGTGAGCCACTGTGCCTGGCCACATATGTGTGTCTTTATGTGTCTGTGCTTGTGTGTCCGGTATTGTATCTATATGTTTGTGTCTGTGTGTATGTGTGTGTGTGTCTGTGTATCTCTCTGTGAGTGTATTTGTGTGTATGTATGTTCATATCTGTCTCTGTATGTGTGTGTCTGCATGTGTTCATATGTGTGTCTTTATGGGTCTGGGCCTATGTATATCTCGTCACGTATCTGTGTCTGTGTGTGTGTGTTTGTATGTCTCTGTGTCTATCTGTGTGTGTCGGTGTGTCTCTCTGTGAATATGTCTGTGTCTGTCTTTGTGTGTTTGTGTCTGTGTGTGTGCCCATGTGTGTTCATATGTGTGTCTTTATGTGCCTGGGCCTGTGTATATCCAGGCGTGTCTCCATGTGTCTATGCATGCATCTGTCTGTGTTTCTGTGTGTGTGTCCTCTGCGAGGAGCTGGCTGAGAACAGGGCTGGGCCCCCCACCTCATGTGCCCTAACCATCCTTGCTCTCCATCCCAGGGAAGGAACTGGTGCTCTTCCTCCGCCCGCGATCCCAGCTGTGCCTCAGTGCTGATTTGGAGGGCTTGGATCTGCAGGGCCTCCAGCCAGACCAGGAGTTGGTCCGGGTGTCCGTGCTGTCCACCGACAGTGGCATTGAGCGGGATTTTCTATCGGGTGCCGATGAGCCACCCGCACCCAGCAGCCCTGAGCTGGAGCGTGCCGGACTGCAGCGCAAAGGGGGCATCAAGAAGCGTGCGTGGCCTCCGGACTTCTTGATGCCTGGCAGCTGGGATGGGCCCCCGGGGCTGCACCGGAGGACGGGCAGGCCCAGTGGGGATGGAGAACTGCTGCCCGGCGTCTCCCGGCTGCACACAGCCCGGGTGCTGGTGCTGGGGGACGACAGGATGCTGGGGCGCCTGGCCCGGGCCTACCACAGACTCAGGTGGGGCCCGAAGCGGGCTGGGGGCTGGTCGGTGGCACAGGTAGGCCTGGCATGGGCTGGTGAAGGATCAGGGCGTGGTAGGAGAGGATCAGGAGGCAGAGGCCAGGGTGGGAGGAGGAGTAGCCATCTCAGAACACGTTACTCACTGCTTTATATTTGTTAGTCCCGTGAATCCCCAGCACCACTGGGGGAGGGAGACATTCCTGTGCCCGTTTTGTAGATGAGAAGACGGAAGCTCAGAGAGATGACATCAATTGCCCAGAGTCAAGAGATAATAAACAGTAGAGCCAGGATGCAGAGCTGAGTCTGTTTGAAGCCAAACCCCTGCTCTTACCTCCTATGTTTTGCTGCCCATTGCCAGGAAACGGGAGACCCAGAAGTTTTGCCTCACTCCCAGACTCAGCCTACAGCTCTACTACATACCTGTGCTGGCTCCTGAGGTGACTGGAAAGGGGATGAGGGACGGTCAGGAGAAAGGGTCTGGGCAGAGAACGGGCAGGACTGAATAGCGACACAGCTGCACCCTCGCGTCCCCCGGCTCAGGGACTAAGAGCACCATCCGTAGAATGCGAAGTGGGGAGACCTCAGCGGTCTTCTGCTTCCAAGGCCTCAGACAGGTGCTCTGGGGGCCGAATGTGACCAGAGGCAAGTTCTCTCATGGCAGCAGCTGCTCATTGCTGATTTCTGTTTTGTTTTTGTAATAGAATTAGTTGCAAATTTCTCAAACATGGGGCATTCTCTCTCTCTCTCTCACACACACACACCATGCTTCCTGGGAGGGAGCCACGTAAGAGGAAATTTCAGGCATGGGAGTCCTTTAGTACACTTGGGGAGATATAGCCACTCTTGCCAGTTTTTCTTTCTTTCCTTTTCTTTTCTTTCTTTCTTTTTTTTTTTTTGAGTTGGAGTCTCCCTCTGTCATTCACACTGGAGTGCAGTGGCACACTCCCGGCTGCTGCAACCTTGACCTCCTGGGCTCAGGCGATCCTTCCACCTCAACCTCCTGAGTTGCTGGGACTATAGGTGCATGTCATGATGCCCAGCTAATTTTTTTAACTTATCTATTGTAAAGACAAGGTCTTGCTATGTTGCCCAGGCTGGTCTCTAACTCCTGAGTTCAACCAATCCTCTCACCTCAGTCTCCCAAAGTGCTGGGATTATAGGCATGAGCCACTGCACCCAGCCTCCGGTTTCACTTTCTACTACACACTCCACTTCTTACTAGTGAACAGTAAGGTCAGAGCGACCCTTGTCTCTCCCCTTTTAAGGCTGGTGATCGTTTTTCGATGTCCACAGGCAGAAACTGAGGCCCCCAAGAGATTAAATGATTTGACCATGTTCACAAAGCCTAGGCCCATGGCTTCTAAGACCCCTCTGACCAGGAAGGACATGCCAGAAAGAGGACCTGACAGGTGTGCCCTATCCTCTTACCCCAGGAGCCTTTCGCATCCAGGCAGCCTGAACTTGGAGAGTTGGCCGCGTTCCTGGGCCGTGCAGACCCATGGTACGAGAGCACTGTCAACACCCTGTGGCCCGCCATCCACAAACTGGCTGAGAGGGTAGGAACAATGAAGGTACCAGGGTGGGAGGGCGGGAGGGGCATGGAGATGAAGGAGTCCAGTGGGCCAGGAGAGCAGGATGAAGGTGGGAGGGGGGACTGTTTTTCAGATACAGTAAGCCCCTTACATATAAACAAGTTCCCTGCCGAGAGCATGCTCATAAGTCCAATTTGTTCGTTAAGTCCAACAAAGTTAGCCTAGGTACCCAACTAACAGCCCACCACTGCTTTTACATTTGCTTCTGGACATCCTGGGCTTGAAATAAAGATAGTGTGCTACTGTACTCTATATAGTCCTGAATAGTAAAGTACACAAAAGGACAACCACTTATAGAGGATGCACGCATGTGACAATGTATGTCAGACATGTGAAATAACTTACGTGATTGGACATGCGAACATAAGTTCGCATCTTTGAATGTTTGCAATTTGAAGGTTCATATATAGGGAATTACTGTCCTGCACTTGACCCTTGACCTCAAGAGTCAGCACAAAGGCAGGGAAGGGGCAGAAAGGAATGCAAAAGAGGAGCCCTAACAGGCTAGTGGTTCTGAATTTGTTCAAAGTACATACCAGGCACTTACTTTGAACCAGATCACTGTAGAAAAGACAAGTAAAATATTATTTCAAAAATGTCTAGGCCAATTATATTGCTTCTTTGGTGAGCTTTCTATGATGATTTTTCTATGATTGTAACAGCTAATGTTTCCTGAGCACTTACTACGTCCTGGGCTCTGTTCCAAGCACTTACACAAAGGACTAGCTCATTTAATTCTCACAGTAGCCCAGAGGTAAGTACTTTTGTTAGTAGGTGCCAGTGTTGCCATAGCCCCATTTTATTGCTCAAGCAGCTAAGGCAGAAACAGATTAGGTAACTTGCCTGAAAAATCACAAAATAGGGGCCAGGCACAGTGGCTCATGCTTGTAATCCCAGCACTTTGGGAGGCTGAGGTGGGAGGTTGGGAGGCCAAGGCAAGAGGATCATTTGAAGCAAAGAGTTTGAGACTAGCCTGGGCAAAATAATGAGACTCCAGCTTTACAAACTTTTTTTAAAAAATTCACCAGGAGAGGATTACCTGAGCCCATGGGTTCGAGACCAGCCTGGGCAACATGGTAAGACCTCATCTCTACAATAAATAAAAAATTAGCTGGGTGTAGTAGCACATGCCTGTAGTTCCAGCTATTTGGAAGGCTGAGGTGGAAGGATCACCTGTGCCCAGCAGGTCGAGGCTGTGGTGGTTGTGAGCATGCCACTGCATTCCAGCCTGGGCGACAGAGTAAGACTCCAACTCAAAAAAAAAAAATTCACCAGGAGTGGTGACACACACCTGTGGTCCTACTACTCAAGAAGCTGAGGCAGGAGGATTGCTTGAGCCCAAGACTTCAAGGTTACAATGAACTATGATTGCACCACTACACTCCAGCCTGGGTGACAGATTGAAACCATGTCTCTAAAAAAAATCAGTAAATAAAAAATAAGATGAAACCCAAACAAAACCAAAAATGAGTGGTAGAGTCCTATTTAGAACTAGGCAGCTTGACTCTAGAGCACATTTCCCTAACCACAGACCATCCTGCCACACCACAACCTTAGCTGGTGGTAGAAAAGGAGCTCATCTTTTACTGATTTGGAAAGGTTGTGTTTTGTTTTGTTTTTTATTTTAGAGACAAGATCTCACCAAGTTGCCCAGGCTGGTCTCAAACCCCTGAGCTCAGGCAATCCTCTCGCCTTGGCCTCCCAAAGCGCTGGGATTACAGGCTTGAGCCACCATGCCCGACCTGAAAAGCCTTTTATATTTTAAGAGAATGTTGCCCTTTTTGCTGTCATATATGTTACAGACATTGTTTTTCCACTTTGTAACTTGCCTATCAATTTTTTTGACTTGCAGAAGTTTAATATTTTTATATAGTCAAATATAGCACTTTTAGTCTTTATGATTTCTGCCTTCGCAGCCATGCTTTAAATCATTTAAATAAATATTCACTGATAATTTACTCTAACACTTTTCATGTCTCAATTTTTACATTTAAATAATTAGGCCATCTGTAGTTAGTTTTAGCATTTAGTGTGAAGCATGTAGTTTTATTTTTTCCAAGTGTTTAGCTAGTTGTCCTAAAGCTATTTGTTGCATAAATTATCTTGTTCCATCAATTTGAAATGCTACTTTTATCATTTACTAAATTCTTGCATATGCTTGAGCTTATTTCTGGATACTTGTTCTCTCTCCTTGATTTATTTATTTTCTTTACAAAGTAGCACTTTCATATTCTAATGTCTGGCAGGGCAAGCCTCTCTCATTACTCTTCCTTTTCAAAACTTTTCAGATTATGCCTATTTATCTTTCCTAATAAACTTTAGAATTCCAAGTTTTTATTTATTTATTTATTTATTTTTTTTTTTATTTCTGAGTTGGAGTCTCACTTCATCACCCAGGCTGGAGTGCAGTGGCACGCTCACAGTCACCCCATCGTCCACTTTCTGGGCTCCGGCAATCCTTCCGCCTCAGCCTTCTAAGTAGATGGAACTACAGGCGCATACTACCATGCCCAGCTAATTTTTTATTTACTGTAGAGACAAGGTCTCGCCAAGTTGCCAGGGCTGGTCTGGAATGTGCAGGCTCAGGCAATCCACTCGCCTCAGCCTCCCAAAGTGCTGGGATTACAGTGTTTTTATTTTTATTTTTTTTAATTCCATTGGGATTTTGATTGAAATTTGAGGAGAACTGGCATCCTTAGGATATTAAGCTTTCCTTTCTTTGTTTATTAAAGTCTTCTTATATATCCCTCAGTATAATTGTACAGTTTTTAACATATGGCTTTTCCTCATTTCTTGCTAAATTTATTCCTTATGTTTGACAGTGTTCCTTGCTGTTGTGGATGATAGCTTTTGTCCATAATATTTTGGGAATAGCTAATGCTAGTATAAAAGGGAGCTATTGATGTGTACATATTTATTCATTTATTATAGTTTTTTAAATGGTGGCAAAACGCATAACATACATTTATCACCTTTTACATGTTTATTTTTAATTTGCCACTTCATTGAACATTTTACTTTATCATTTGATTGATTGGGCTGTCTTCTTATATATTTTGTTCAAATAAAGATTTTGGGGGGGGTGCACATTTTCTGAATTATACCTGATCTGAAAATGTCTTTGCATACACATAGATACTGTTTAGCTGGATAGTAAAGCACTTTTTCCTTGAAACTAGGGAGATATTACAGGAGGAACATTTGAAGCAGGTCCTACTGGTGCTCTTTTGTTGGTAGCTTTTATCCCCTGCCAGGCCACATGTAAGATTCTGGTTTTTCCCTGATTCCTTTCCCACTTATAATTAACAATTTGTAGCCTGGGCAATATAGCAAGACCTTGTCTCTTCAAAAATTTAGCCAGAGGTAGTGGTGCACGCCTGTAGTCCCAGCTACTCAGAAGGCTGAATAGGATTGCCTGAGCACAGGAGGTCAAGGTGGCATTGAGTCATGATTTTGCCACCGCACTACAGCCTGGGCAACGGTATGAGACCCTGACTCAAAAAAAATTTTTTTGTATGGCCCTTATGCTTATTTCAGAAGCAGTCTCCACATGAAGAAACAGGAAACACTGTGAGCAATGACAGCATTGTTAGAATAAATTCATAGTTCCTTAGTGTGACCTTTTTGAAGGGAATAAAATTTCAATAGACCAGATGTAAAAGTCAGAAGAGGTTTTATAGAATTGGATATGAGTTGAATGAGATAAGCTCGGGGGTTCTTTCCAACTCTGATACTATCATATTCTATGTAGATTCTGTCTTGTTTGCCTGAAAGACCCAATCGTTATACTTCATAATCCTATGGGACTGGGAAAGTCCTGGAGTACAAGGTACACAGTTCATTCCCAATGACATACAAACATGAATTTATTTATTAAGAGATCCAGGCCGAGCTCGGTGGCTGAGCCTGTAATCCCAGCACTTTGGGAGGCCAAGGCGAGTGGATTGCCTGAGCCCACGGGTT